GCTGTCATTACCAGGAAAAGTCGGTAGCAGTTGGGAGCCATCTTTCTTCCTCTTTCTTCCTCCTCACTCGCTCCCTCTTCCCTTCCTCCCTCCCTCCTCCCCAATCTCCCTCCCTCCCTCCCCTTCTCCCTCCTGCCTTCTGTCCTCCTGCCTCCCTCCCTCCTCTCTCCCTCCTCCCTTTCCTTCCTCCCTTCCTCCTTCCTTTTATTCCTTTCTCTCCTCTTTCCTCCTCCTTCCCTCCCTCTATCCCCTCCCTCCGTGCCCCCTTCCTCCCTCCGTGCCCCCTCCCCTCCTCCCTCCCTCCTTTCTTCCTCCTCCCTCCCTCCTCCTTTCCTTTTTGGTATGTTTTTAATCTTGAGAAGATTTTGGTCCACAATGGCTGAGACTAGCTATAAATCACATTAGTGAGTGTTGGCAATGATGGGTACCTCCTACCAAGTAATATTTAGAAAAAGAAACACTTAGGTTGACTGATGCCTTTGCTGTTGGGGGGGGGATGAAAAAAACCCAGATGAACACTTACCTTCTGGTGAAACACTTTGTGAATGCAACTCTGAGGTGAGTGCATGGCCTGGTCATTGAATAAAGAGAGACTAAACCATACTCACTTCAGACTTAGAATTCAGCAGGTAATATACTTACTGGTCATGAGCAAGTAATAGAGGGTAGTGACAGACAAATGAGACCTATAAGAGTTAGATTACAAATTGTTCTTCTGGTGGCTATAAATTCATATTTCCTTTAAGCTATTTACCTCACTACACACTCCTCCTTAATAAACAGGTAATTTCCCAGCTTCCAAGATGCCATAGAAATGTTTTCCGCTACTTGATGGCATTCCTTCGTGAACTCCTAAAATTCTCTGACTACAACAATGTCAGCGCCAACATGATCGGTAAGGATACTCCATGATAAAGTTGGCGTGGAGGGCTAGCTAAAAATAATCTATATGCATTTTGCATAATGTATACTGTATTTGGTGTTCAGGAATATGGCAGTCATTTCCCTACTACTGTTCTTGTTCCCTGCACCCCAAATCTTGAGGTTTTGCTGAGGTCATGTCTGACAATGGGTTTCTCCTTTTCTTTCTCCTACCCTCCAGCTACTCTCTTCACTAGCCTTCTCCTAAGGCCTCCACCAAACCTCATGGCAAGACAGACTCCAAGTGACCGCCAGCGTGCCATCCAATTCCTTCTGGTCTTCCTGCTTGGGAACGAGGAAGACTAAGTCTTTCCCTATCTGAAATTCTTGAAAAGGAAGATCTTGGGCTCTGAGTATTTCAGGATTATTTGAAAAGTCATGACACAAAAAAAGGGCCTACTGCAGGATCTTAAGTTCTGTTAATAGTACAAAGGGAAGAGTTTCTTAATCCCTCCTCACCATATCCTACAGAGCAAAATCCTTTTAGACATATATTGCCAAGCCAAAGTTACCATATTTCGGGGTTTTTTGTGTTTACTCTTTGTAAAGCAAAGAGGTCTGTATTTACACTCCTTTACCTAGGGGTATGTTTTCTGCCCTGCTTCCCAGTCAACATAATTCTCTTAATACCCTGGGCCTAGATTGTGAGGCATTCCCATTCTAGGCCTACAAGCACTACTTGCTGTAACTCAGACTTGTCTGTAGTCCTTTTATAATGCACTTTGGATCCACCCTCTCCCCATGTCACTACTTTGCACTCTTCCTCCATTCGTGCTGTCACTTGGAAGGAGCCCTGGATGAGGCTAGTGACTCTGTGGGTGTAGTCGACAGTGAAGCTCACTGTCTCCATGCGATTGTTACATGTGTGTGTGCATTTCTACTACAATGATGTCTATGTGTCGCTGGAACATTGGTCTGCTTTGGGATCCACACCTGGTGGAGCCGTATTCCCTTGTCTGTGATCGTGTTTAGTTCCACAGTTGTATGGACTCTAGAGATGGCATCCCACTGATGCGAGGAAAGCACTGTGAGGATTTCAGGAGTGAAAATATCCATGCTCCACAGCTCCTGTTTCCTACTCCCCCTTACGTCTTTTAGTGTCCACACTTGACATGAGGAGTAACCCTGGGTGTTAGGGAACCCATCTCCCTCTAGAAACACACTTCCAGAATAATGTTTGCATCACAGTCAAAAAGGGAGTCTGTGCACCTCAAGTGAGGTCCCCTGGACCTTCCCTCCTCTCCCAGACCAAGTATTGAGGGTAACCCTCAGAATCATTTCTCCTATCTTCTGGCATTGCAGGGGAAGACATTGCTCTCTCTCAGCAGGGCTGACTCTGGGCTCCACTTCTGGCTCCTTCAAGTAAAGAATTTAAAGACTGCCCTTGGCTCCTAAACACTATATCGAGTGCTGTGTAAGAGAAACTGGTCAGTGGGACCAGCCACACACACATTACCTCTCCCACCTGAAATGACTCCAAGGTTTTCATTTTATTCAAGATTTGTGGGACAGACAGACTTTCTAAAACCTGATATGTTGGTTAACAAAAAAGCCACCAGCTACTGACTGCAAACTGCCTGATGAAATTGGTTTGCTTGGTTTTCTTTCATCGAAACCAACCCAAGTTGTGTCATTCTTGCCTGTTAACATTGGGTGTAACGAGCTTGTATCAGGCTGTGTGTACAGTCTTGGGTACTGATTCCATGACTCTTGTAGCATCTAAGGAGAGGGCCAGGGAAACATCTACTATCAAATGGTTTCCCAGTTCCCTCGTCTCCTCCAAATTGAGTTCTTTGGAGAACAAAAAGTATGTACCCTGCAATAGACCACTTAAGCCCTTACCCAATTGGGAGTTGGGAAATAAAAGAATTGGTGCCAGCTCACTGAAGATCTGATTGGGTCAACAGTTGGTTAGTGGAAGACAGAGAGCAGAGAGCAAAGTTTTGTCATGTCTGTTAGGCTAGAAAGTAATCACTAAAAAAGCAGATGATAACAGCTGGGGCAAGGTGGTCCACAGGAAAAGCCTTTCCTGTGTGTATTCTGTAATATCTTGCCAACCTGGGGTCTTTGGGTGAGCAGGACTATGGTTAGTAGGGCTGGCTCTGTGGAGCATGCATGTAGTGCCCTTCCTTCATCAGGCCAAAGCACCAAGTTGCTTCACTGCCTCACCTTTTGTTCACCTAGGCCTAGGATGTATATGGGGTTGAGGGTTTTGGACAATCTCCAGATAGGGGATACAAAACAGATCAGATGAAGAAACCTGCTTTCCTATGCTGGTTTCCTATCCAGCACCCCAACTTCTAACCCCTCATGCCTCCAAGGTACTGTTTCATAGTTCCTCTGAATTAAGGCTTTCAGATCCAACTGGTAGGGAAAGACTGAGCACCTAGTGTCTTAGGGCAGAAATTATTCAAATCTATTGGATGATATTGCATTAATTTCCATTTCACTGTTTTCTGATTCTTAATCTAAAGTTCTACATTATATTTCACAAAAATGTCTTGGTCACTAAGCAAAGCTGCTAGTGGGATTCTGTATTTTGTGTCATCTTTTTTATTATAATTTATTGCAATTTTCTGAATAAATATATGTTGTGTGAAAAATCATTTTTATCTTGATAAGAAAGAACTGGAGGGAGGAGACTTATGTCACTTGGTCTCACTTGGCTTTTTTTTTTTTTTTTTAGGGGCAAACAGTTTCTTTTTTTCTTTTTTAAATTTAAAATAGAAACCAGCTTCTTTTACATGTCAATCCCAGTTCCCTCTCTCCCCTCCTCCCCTGTCCCCCACCAACCTTCTATCTCATCCCCTTTCTGCTCCCCATGGAGGGTGAGGCCTTCCACGGGGGACATCTTTTTTAAGCAGGGTCTAGGCCCTCCCCCGTGTGTCTAGACTGAGAGAGTATCCCTCTATGTGGAGTGGGCTCCCAAAGTCCATTCATGTACTAGGGAGAAATACTGATCCACTACCAGAGGCCCCAGAGATTTAACCAGACCTCCAAACTGACATCCTTGTTCAGGGGGTCTGGAACAATCTTATGCTGGTTTCCCCAGCTATCAGTCTGGGGTCCATGAGCTCCCTCTTGTTCAGGTCATGTTTCTGTGGGTTTCTCCAACCTGGTCTTGACCCCTTTGCTCCTCCCTCCTCCCTCTCTGCAACTGGATTACAGAGTTTGGCTCAGTGTTTAGCTGTGGGTATCTGTGTCTGCTTCCATCAGCTACTGGATAAGGGCTCTAGGATGGTATATAAGGTAGTCAACAATCTCATTATAAGGGGAGGGCATTTAAGGTAGCCTCAAGACTATTGCTTAGATTGTTAGTTGGGGTCATCCTTGTAGATCTCTGGATATTTCCCTAGTGCCAGATTTCTCTTTAAACCTATAATGGCTCCCTCCTCACTTGGCTTTTTTCTTTTTCTTTTCTTTCTTTCTTTCTTTCTTTTTTTTTTTTTTTTTTGGTTTTTGAGACAGGGTTTCTCTGTGGCTTTGGAGGCTGTCCTGGAATCTCACTTGGCTTTTTTGCAGTCCCCATCAACTATATGTGTACCTGTCACCACCCAGCTTACAGAGAAATGCCATTTACATTTTTTGCACTGGGTCTGTAACGCCATTTTAGAGTTTACTTACCATGCACAAAGCCTTGGGTTTGATCTGTAACACCAGGACCACAAAAGTATGTTTTCTTGGGCTGGTGAGATTATTCCATGGGTAAAGATACTTGCCATCAAACCTGATACCCTAAGTTCAGTTCCCAGAACCCACATGGTAGAAGGAAGGAACTGACTTCTGAGAATTGCCCTCTGAGATCTACACATGTGTTGTGGCATGGCCACATAGATAAATATAATTGGGGCTGGAGAGATGTCTCAACAGTTAAGTGTACTTACTGCTCTTACAGTAGACTCAGGTTTGGTTCCCAGCACCCACACTGGCAGCTCAGAACTGCTATAACTCCATCTCCAGGGGGTCTAATGGCTTCTGCAGGCACCTGCATACATACATACATACATACATACATACATACATACATACATACATACATACATACATACATACAGATAGATATATCTTTCTAATGAAAAAATAAAAAGATGTCTTTTCCCTAAGAGATGAGAAGCCATGTATTTTCAGACTGATAAAGAAGCCATGTACTTTTGGGGCCAGCAAAGGTCCTTATTTTGACCCTAAGGATTCAGGCAACAGTGAATTCATCTGTTCCATTACACACTCCATCCCATCCCTTGGGAAGAGATCTGCAATGGAATCTTACTATATTGCTGAAGCTGGTCTTGAACTTCTAGACTCAATCAACTGTCCTGATGCAGCCTCCCTTGTAGCTAGGGCTGCAGTCACACCACACACCATCTTGCCCAGTTGGATGTTGGTATGACAAGTCCTAACACACACACATTTCAGAGGAGCCCTTGCTCTCAGCCTAGGTGGATTAGATGTGACTCCCAAAGAGCCTGTTTTCACATAATCCATTTTATAACTTCTGAAACCCAGCTTATTACTTGGGGTGATGAGGTGCATAAATTTATAAACACTTTGGGGCAGCTCTGGTATGAGCTCCTCTCTGGCACTTGGAGGGAATGCTGCCCAGCTCAACAGGATACCACTGTTCCCTGGCCCATCTACAGCATGAATTTGTGGCTTCTGAGTTCATTCCCTTTAAGACTGAAGATGCTTCAGCTGGAGGGTTCTTCTCAACCAGGGCCTTTTTCCAGTTCCCTCCCTCTGTGAGCCTGCCAGATGCATGTGCTGACTCAGGGTTGTTAGGAACCCTCTTGGGGGCTTTTTCTAGCTCCACCCAAAGGCTTGGCAGAAGAAGGTGTTCCCTTCTGTGGAGACTGGCATCCAGCCGTTTCTATATAGCAGGGGGCAATACGGCATAGCAGGTACCATAGCTGTCCGTGCCTGTATCTGCACCTTTCCCTGCTGCTCTTGTGTTCTAGGAACTCCATTAGAGCCTTTTTGTTGCAAGGCAAGTTGGACAGGCTCTTAGTGTGGTTTAATAATCCATAGCCACATAGTGTAACTATAAACCACACAATGTTAAAAGGAGAGAGCCTTAGTAAATGATCTCAGCCATTGTCATTGTTCAAATAGGGAGTCTCAGAGGGGACAATGATTGACTCGCCATGAAGTATGATGGGAAGAAAAGGCTTATGCTTCACAGTTTGACATGGGTCAATGAACACTCTACATAACCTTAACCTATACTCACCAGTTAACATTTAATGATGGTTGCCTCGAGTCTGCTGTTCAATCCAGTTTCTGCCACTTCTTATTGTGATTTTGGACTAGTTTCCCTATAGTTTTCTTGCCTGTAAAATAAAACAAGTATAATATTGCGCTTATGTGGTATAAATACATCAGTTTCATCACTTCCTTGTTTAAAATAACAAACAACAACAAAAAACCCCAAAGCATTGTCCAGTACATTTAGAACAATGTCCCACCTTTCTCCTGGCCTTCAAGGTCTGACATTGTTAAATGGAAAGTACATTGCTATGTGCCAGCAATAGTGTATGGCACATAGAAGCTGCTATATAGATTTCCTGCTCCAGCTTTCTGTTTCTATCAAAATGACAATACCTAAGGCTTTAGATTTCTTACTTAATGATAATAACATTGTCAGGCAAGAACCAGCTTGTACTCAGTCTGTTCAGCTCTCAACCATCTGACTGCTCTCAACCATCACCACACCACACCTATGCCTCTATTTCATTC